TGTACGTACTTATGTACGTACTTACGTACGTACATAGTCTGTCAAATGTAACATCTATCAACTATTTTGATGTATAATGACGAATTAGTTGTATTCATGAACATCAAATGACCTTTAACATACAGTAATGACACGTATTTTAACCAGCATGACAGAAAAAGAAATATTTGATACCTAAAAAAGAACATCTTTAAATTATCTAAAAAGCGTGAGAACAAATTGAGAACTGAGCGATGGAAAATCCATCTATATCAACTCTTTTCATAATATAATAATAGTCACAAAAGATCGTCTGACTATAAACTCTGACGACTCTAATCCTGATCTGGAAAAAAATATAGTAATAAAATGCTTAGATCATATCACATTATTATTCACTACACACAAATGTTTTTTTCCCCACAGAAAAAAATAATATTTACAGAAAAAAAAATAAGTTTGACACAAGATAAAATACGTATACGCGTTTGATTTTACTTATCTTTTGAATCTATTACTGTATTGTTTCTTGAGAAGAGTTACTAATGTCTATTCTTATGAAAATGATCGATTTTGGGAATAGTCTTTCTTTTACTTGCATGGGAATCTATTAATCTACGTACTAAATTTAATAAAGTATTCGAAAACGCATCAGATTACCTTAAAAAATTTCAAAGTTTCAAAAGCACAGAATTAGAGATATATGGTGTGATGTTATTTACCTTTCGTTTCGAAAAGTTTTTGATGTACAAATTGTCTTAAATTATGTTGATGTAAACATTGACGCAATCACTTACTAAAGATAGTGTGGCTTTGTATCACATGATTAAATAGCCGGTTTCTTACATTATTTTCTGTATTTCAATATTTAAAATATATATATACATATATATACAATATATATTCTAAATATATACAAACATTATATTCATTATATATATATATTTTTTTTATACGTTTAACTATATTTTACATTATAGTAATATATATTGCTTTGTAACTTCATATTGTTCCCACCTGTTACTTTGTAAACCCCTAGATCCAGATCCCTTCATTGAAAATCTTATATATAAAAACCTTTTGTTGCCGTTTATTATTATTTTTTTTTTTTACTTACTGACAAATTCTTCTTTGTCATTTCCCCATAAAGATAATTTTTTTTTTTCTTTGTCGTTTGGATGCTTCTCTTTTTAATTTGAGCAATTTCACGTGCTTTCAACATTTTACTTTGCGCGGTTCGATCAAATCAAATAAATCATATAAATGCAATTATTTCTTGTAAAAAATTCTTTTTAATTAACCGTTTATCATTATATTTTAAAAACTTTCCATTCCCTCTGATATTAAAATAATTACTTAATTAAATTCAGGGTGATTTTATTTCAAGAGAAACGGAAATCCTTAATCCGTCCTTCTTGAATGTTTGCAGGCTCAACTGATTGATATATTACCCTAAGTTCTTTAAAAGATAAATGTATATCTAAAAGGAAACAAAAAAAAAAAAATCCTATTCAATCATTTAATCCCCCTTGATTTAATTATAGTACTTAGTTTATTAATAATAATAATCACCATCATTTTACCTTAGATTTAATCATACACTAGATTCATCTTCTGACTTATTTGAAAATAATGACCACATTAATAGAAAATTGTTTCGATCCTAATGAACTTATCGGTAAATTCATCGATAATGACCGTTTAGAGTTAACTAGTATCCTTGGTATAGGTGCTTACGGTGTGGTCTACTCTGCAAAGCATGTCAATCGACGCGTTTATGCTGTAAAATGTATGCCAAAGAATAATTTAGATGCGAGACAGCGAAGATTACATGCAACTGAGATAAACCTTCATGCTCAGGTTTCCGGTCATCCAAACATAATAAGTTTGGAAAATGTTATTGATACTGACGATTCCTTGAATGTTGTTCTCGAATATTGTCCTGAAGGTGATCTATTCTCTATGATTACCGAAAAAGGTGGTTATCTTGGAAATGACCATCTTATCAAACAAGTTTTCGTTCAAATTCTGGATGCTGTTCAATATTCTCATTACAACGGTATCTATCATCGTGATCTAAAACCTGAAAACATTCTTGTTTTTGATGGTGGAAGAACTGTTAAACTTGCTGACTTTGGTTTAGCTACTACTGATGTCTGGTCAAAAGATTTCGGTTGTGGTTCTACCTTTTATATGAGTCCTGGTAAGCTTTTTTTTATAAATATTTAAAATCTACTACCCTTATTTTTAATATTATTTTAAACTAATTATAATAATTAAATTATTTAGAATGTCAAGGTGGTCTTCATAAACAAGTGCGAGGTTACGCAACTGCTCCTAATGATGTTTGGTCTTTAGGTGTTATTTTAATTAATATTACTTGCGGTCGTAATCCGTGGAAGCAAGCTTGTCTTCGTGATGAAACCTTTTCCATGTATCTTCAAGATCGCGATTTTCTAAAGACTATACTTCCACTTTCGGATGAGTTAAATGATATTTTAAAGGACATTTTTAACCCTAATCCTGAAAAGCGTATAACATTAGAAGAACTTAAAGAACGTATATTGGCTTGTGAAAAGTTTACTGTATCCGAAGATGATGTAAAGACTACTCAACAAGATGATGAGTTTATGAATATCTGTGATATGCCAATATCACCTGTTGCTCCACGTGAGATACGTAACTATTCATCCTCGAGTTCCTCGGCTACTGCTTGTTCTTGGTATTCAATGAATAGTGAGATGGATTTCTCCACTCCTCCTTCAGAATTTTTAGTCGATTATGACCGTTGTTTCTCTTCTTCAACGAGATCTTCGTCTTCTCTGTCCACATTAGCAAATAGTCAACCTGACTTGATTAAGTGTTTTAATCATGACTTGGGAATCAGTTTGAAATGTGGTGACCTTATAATGGATGATCATATCCTTCAAACTGATTGCATATTTTAGCATTCGTTTCCCCTATAACTTTAGGACTATAATATTATACATTATATATAAATCATATCATTCATATATATGTATTTTATATACATATATATATATCCATCATTTTCTATGCACACATTTCGTTAAAAGAAATTACATTTCACAAATGCGATTTGCAAAAAAAAATTTAAACAAATATCGATTTATCAAAATTTCAACTTATAGAACAATTTTCATATGGTATTTTTTTTTGTGCAAAAAGCACGCACACATAACTTTTAAAAAAAATAAGCAATTCTAAGAAATCGTTACATATTTTTTTCCTAATCAAATTTTTGGTTATTTTTCTTTGCAGAATCACAATAAACACACTTAGTAACATAATTTTCCCTTTTAAAGCTTTTATTCTAAATAAAATTTTCTTGTAAATATTGATAAAATTTTTTTGAACTCCTTTTTTTTTTTTTGTATATAGAATCTTTTACAATTTAGTTTTTGGTGTTTTTTTAAGATTTAAAAAAAAGAAATATTTTCTAATAATTGCGAATCAATTCGAAATCACAAACACAAATAAAATCTTTACTTACTGGTTAAGTATCTATTAATGTATTAGTATATGTTTGTTCAATGCGTTAATTCAATGCATCAGTTTTGAACGTGCTATTTTGAACGTGTTATTTTTACGTAACGTGTCATTTTCAACGTGTCAGTTTAAATGTGTTAGCAATATGTCAGTTTAAACAAACATAACAGTTCAATATCGATATGTCAGTTTAAACAAGCATGTCGGTTCAAATATGTTAGTTCAAGTGAGTCAGTTCAATGAGTTAGATTTATTTAGATTTTATTATTTTGTAAACTATTGTATATTTCATTAATTATGAAATATATATATATATATATAGAATAATTGGGGATGAATAATCAATTAATATCAGGTATTCATTCATTCATTGTATTAACAGGAGGCGTACGTGCGTACATTTTTATTTTGTGAAATTGAAAATTTTAAACTTATCGTTATTAACTACTGTAGAATTATACATTAAATAATTAAATTTTTTTTTTTTATATAACTGTATCATTAACTAATAGTGCATATATAGTAACCGAGTAGGCTTTAAAATTTATATTAGCCTATCTATAGATCTATATATATACCGTATTTGTGCGAAACAACATTCCGGGGCGTAATTTAGAGACACAGAGTTTAAAGAGAATTAATTAATTTAACCGAATTTGATTCACTATAAAAATCTTTGGCTAAATTAATTATTGGTTCTCTTTAAATTACATGACTCAATTTAACGCCCCGGGGCGTTACGTACATACATATGTAACAATATTTTAAGGTAGCATTATAACTAAAGTTTATTTGTTTTAGCAAAAAAAAAACATTCAATAACTTTTTTTTTTGGGTAATTACAGTATTAGTAAATTAAATGTCAATGGTAAGAGGCTTTTTTTTTGTACAACAACGATTAAACTTTATTTTTTTGCCTTCATCGTTAAACACCAAATATTGTTCTTTTTAAAGTTTCCAAAGTTTCCATGGTATTGATAAGTTGAGTAACAATTGAACAATAGAGAATTTAATTTGCATTATTGCCAATTTAAAATGAAATTGGATAAATTTAACCAGGATTATATTGTAAATCTTAACCGAGAATAATATTTATAATATTTGGATACTATTGTAAATTAACCAGAAATTGAATAATTGAAATAAACCATGAGTTTGATAATAATTGTAAGATAATTAACCAGGTGCAAAGAATTGAATAATTTTTGTAATCAACTTCTTTTTTTTTTTTTATTTTGTACAAGAATATACACTAATGATACATACTAATGAATACAATACAGTAATGAATTCAATGTATGTGTACAAATAATATCAATCATTAAACATCTATCTATGTTAAATCTTTTAAACCGAAATGACAATTTTCTTATACAATCCTAATATATATACCAGATGTAATTTCAAAGTTTGACCTGTATAAGCCTTCTTTATATTCTTTATATTCTTCATATTCTTTATACGAGCCAAAATTTGAAATTACACTCCTGGGCATCTATATGGTACTAATATTATTTCTCTACAAAATTTCCAGGTAACCCAGCATTTTTGATTGTGGAAGGTGCAAGACCAAAATCTTGTGGACATGGAATATTTTGCTCTATACATATGGCTTTGATAAGAGCATAATGATGAAACTAAAAAAAAAAAAAAAAGATTATATGAAAATGAAAATTAAATGAATTAGAATTATTTAATAAAAATAATAATCAAATAACAGTCAAATAGTAATTAATAAAACTTACTGCATGATGACAGCAAAACCATAATTCTCTACCATATGTAGATTGTAAAGTTAGAGAACCATCTAACATCTCAACGTCAACTATAGCGCTTACATCTATAACAGTATTTAATGGTACGGACGTACAATCACTAAGAAGAGTTGATTGTAATTTCATAAGTTGTTTTATAGCAGTTGTACGTGATAATTCTATTGGAACCTATAGTGTGCATGGTCACGTGATTTGTCAAAAATACTGTATTAAAACATACATTATACATTAAATTTGATATACAGTATTAAAACTTATAACATACATCATGTTCTCTACGATCGTAATCAACATTCCAATTATGCGATTCATTAATCGTTTCTACTGAATCATAATCATTATATTCTATATCTTCGACAGAAGCTCTTTTTGATACTAAAGGCTTTGATTCAAGTAACAAACGAAAATGATCATACATGTGTCTTAAATAATAAAATATATAGATTAATAATACTTGATATTGAATTGAATGAGGAAGTCTCATAATTATAGAAAAAAAAGATAAAATAAATACCTAACGTGTTTTCCAATAGTACTTGGAGGAACAACCTTACTTTCAAATACATAACAATCATCTTTAGGTAAATTCTTTATAAAGTCAATACATTGTTGTAGAATTTTAAAGGCAGCCCTGTGAATTTCTTGTTCAGGGCAAAGAGCGGTCAAAGGTATAATTTCTTTAATGTCAACAGGTGCTGGATCGTCAAGTGAGGACCAAGAGCTTACTTCATTATTCGACTCAGTAGACATTATACTATGACGAGCAGCGGCACCTCTTGCAGTAGCAGCTCGAGATAGACTTGGATAAAGAGTTTCAACAGAATTTTTCTTAGGGGGAGAAGGAGAAAATTGAAATTGTAAGGTAGGAATAGAAAATTTAAATAATAATTTCATTAATGATAATCAGTTATGATAACTGTTTTACATATATTTTAATTTAATGGATAAAACTTATGGTTTATAATAAAAAGACTTTATGATAGAAAGGAAAAAGTCGTAAGTTTATATACATAACAATTTAATAACAAAAATGCGTCACATCTAGATCATAGTACAGTATGACAATTTTTATTTGTTAAACATTGATTAACGATTCTTCTTTTGAAATGTTTCATTTGCTTAAAAGAAAGTCCGATAACCTTGTGAACAAATTTTATTCTTTGTTTGGTAGATTGATGGTCAATCATCTGGACATAACAATCGAATGATCCAATAAACTAGTTAGCCATTACTTTAAAATGCAAGAAACTTAAAATATCTCTTTAAAATAAGAACTTTATCAAGATAAACTGCGTTAATTTTTAACTTAAATTGCATATCTGATATTATATATATATATATTATATATATATATATACTGTATTACACCTTATACCTAAGTTTAAACATTCCCGCCCCCACAGCTAATCAAGGCACGTGATATGGTAGGTACTAAAACAACCTAATTTTAACAAATATTTACGTTATATGCTTGATGCTATCCTGCTGTAGCTAGATTACCAATGAAGCTTTACATCCACAAATGAGATCAAATTCAAAGTGGGCTGTTTCAGGATCTACTACAAATTAAATAACAAGACCTGTATGGTATGGTACCTGTAATCTCTATTATATACAAATATAAGTTATATATCAGCAAAAAATTCTCTAATTCTTGTAAATTTTTGTCATGATTTACAATTACTATAGTATATATATATATCGATATATATCTTTCTTTCAATTCATTTCAATATATGTTACGATTTACAAATTATATTACTACAGTATATCGATATGTTCTTTCAATTCATTTCAATATATATCGATATGTAATGCTGACAAATTTGCCATACATAGTATGCAAAATAACAGGCAAGATGCACCAATGATTGGTTTTTTTTTTTTTTTAGAATTAAATAGAAAATCGGCTTTTTCTTAATCTTTAAATAAAGATTCCTCAATAGTCATCTAACCAAATTTGATTTTTATTTTCATTCTACGAGTTTACAGAATTAAAAAATTTCATCGTTGATTAGATATTTAAGAACTCTAAGGTTTAGATAAAAAATTTCTTTTTTTTAAAAAAAAAACTAAAATGAAAATTTCTTGATAGCCATCAATCAAATCGATGAAAAATTTATTTAATTCTACAAGTTTGCAGAATTATAATCATTTAAAATTAGAAAAAAATTTGGCCGCAGCTCTTTTTTTTATAGATGTTTAACTTTTGACCTTTGGACAAGATTACTCAATGTTTACCCAATCAAACCGATAAAATTTTTTATTTTAATTCTATGAATTCATAGAATTAAAATCTAGTTTTGTCAGGTAAATATCGAATAATCGGGGGTTTTTCCCTAAGATATTTGAATGTTTCTCATTATCATTATATCAAATTCAATAAATTTTTAAAGGTACGGAATTAAAATAATAAATCTTTACCGAATTTGATCACGTAGTTATTGAGAAAGTTCAAAAAAAAAAATTTAAAGGGGATCAAAGTTAAATCCTGATTTGGTGCACCTTTCACGGTCCTACTGGGTATCCATTTATTTTATTATTATAACAACAACTGTATGATAACGATAACCGCAGTTATAAATCACGCTCTTATTTTTATATCGCATAATTTACTGTTATTTGTTAACATCGTTTTGTTAGTTTATAAATTCTTTATAAAAAGCTAAAAAATTTTAACTATTAATGAACTTTTTTGGATGAGATTTCAACCTTTCACAATTCTCGGTGGTGATGATGGTTATGGTGGTGATCATGACCATGACCATGTTTATGTTTATCGTGTTCATGATGCGACAAAAGTGAATGTCCCTAAATAATTATAATTTGTAAATGATTAATTTAAAAAAACTTCCAGTTTAAATGTGTAAATAATACAAGAGAGTGAAATCCTTTTTTTTTGAATTATCTTTTTATAATTCATTATTATTGTAAAACCAGAAAAAACTTGGATTTCTTTCCGTCATTAAATATATATATATATATATTCTTACCAAATATCCTAAGGCTGCAGCTCCAAGTGCACCACCTGTTACGTTTTTAAAGATGTATTAGCTAAAAATTTGATAAACTAAATATCATTCATTTGGTAAAAAAAAAAAATCACATGCCTCCAACTCCTAATGCTAACTTTGAAGCATCAACCTTATCAAACAGACCCTTTTTGTCGCCTTTGTCGCCTTGACTTGTAGGCGGTGACTGGTATTGTCCTGTGAGCGGTGGTTGATATTGTCCAGGTGGTGGTGGCTGATATTGTCCGCTAGGTGGCGGTTGGTATTGCCCACTCGGTGGCGGTTGGTATTGCCCACTCGGTGGTGGTTGGTATTGCCCACTCGGTGGTGGTTGGTATTGCCCACTCGGCGGTGGTTGGTATTGCCCACTCGGCGGTGGTTGGTATTGCCCACCCGGCGGTGGTTGGTATTGCCCACTCGGTGGTGCTTGATATTGCCCGCTAGAGGGTGGTTGGTATTGCCCAGGATAACTATATGTTTGTGGTGCTTGTCCATAATTTACCGGTTGTGATTGATTATATTGAGGTGGTGGTGCATTGTAGGTTGGTTGTTGTGGTTGTTGCGGCTGCTGTGGCGTTTGAGAACTCGGCATAGGATATGAATCCTGTCTATGGAGTTGCGGTGTTTGAGGACTTGGCATAGGATATGAATCCTGTCTATGGAATTGTTGTGTTTGAGATTGAGATTGAGGTTGAGATTGAGGTTGAGGTTGCGATTGAGATTGCGGTTGAGGTTGAGATGGAGGTGCGTATTGCCCAGGTGACTGTCCGGGATGTTGCCATTGAGAAACTCCTGTCGCCTGATCTATATGAATAAAAATGGTTAACGTCCTTTGGATATACTAATCATCATTTTTTTCTAAACACAATAATCAAATTTTCAACTTTCTTGACTCTTATAAACTACTCACTGATATAATAATAGTTTTTGCTATTTGGATCATAATGAGATGTCCATCCTGCTGGCAAATTATTTGGATCCATTTCGTTCTAATAGGCACAATACAGCAATAGCTGGTAGTTAAGAATTATATACAAAATCTGTTAATAGTGTAACGTTTCACAGATCTATGCAAAGTGTAATTTGTTTGACAGTAAAAATAGTAATCGTGCCTAATAGGATGTTATCTACCAAATAGAGTTCGTCGGATCATTCGATTTCTATTCACTGAATTTAAACTTCCATATAAATCCTTTTAAAATACTGTATAGTTTTATGTTAAAATTATAATACTGTATGCAGTTTTAAAGAATAAAAAATATTTAATAAACTTTTAAAAGCCAAAATATATACATATAATACATACAGTATATAGTATCGATTTTTAAATACCGATTAGCCAAAATTAAAAAAACAATATATATTAATAATATTGGCTTTATAATCAAAAATACTATTTTTAATAAATTAGTAATACTACTATAATTTTAATAAAGCAAAAAAAAAAAAAAAATTATTTATATAGAAGTGTATTAATAATTAAAATTATAACAAAAATTTTAGTTTAACTAAAAAACTCTTAATTCTAATTTTAATTTTTTTTTTTTTTTATTTTATTTTATTTTATTTTATTTTATTTTATAAAACGCGAATTGGCATGCTTTATTGAATATATAAATACATAAGATTATTTACAATTAGAAGGAGTTTATATTTCTATATTTAGAAATTGGGTTATGACTTTAGTTGATTTGCTCTTACAAATCTTATTCAAGATTATAAGATTTTTTTGTATTCTAATTTCTGCTACCTTTTTAACTACTTCTTTATTCATAGTATTATTTCCCCACCTGGCTTGTATATACCAGTACTATATTTTATATATAAAATTAATATGTAACCATTTTGCTATCACTTATTTTTTACTGTCTAGTATATTATGTGTAGTGAAAATTTCCTCCATATTTTGTGGGCTTGGGTCTGCTACTGCATTTTCCAGGCACCGGTATCCTATTCTCCAGATTATTTGGCTAATGTTATATTTTAATGCAAAGTGTTCTGGTATTTGTTTTTTTTCTGGACAGTTAGAGTAGCTTTCATTTATGTTTTTATCTATATGCATAAGTCAATATCCTAGTGAAAGTGCTTTATTTTGTAATTTCCAGAAGATATCTTTTTTCTTATTCATTATTTCTTTGCTTTTTATCCAACCAAAATAATTCGATGAGTCTTTATGTGGAGTTAATTATGTTGCTGTAGATTGTATAGAGAACTATCTCAGGAACTTTATTGCTTTTTTAACCATAAATTGTTTTTCAGATTGGTCACATAGTTTTAATTGTGTAATCTCTTATAGCCAATTATTAATTGTCATAACTATACCTATAAGCCTTTTTCAGGCTGTTATATATGAGTGCTAGCTTTCAGGCTAGCTTTTAAGTTTAATTGTAAAGCTAGTTAAAGCTATCATTATTGAGATCTTTCTTTTATTCTGCATATGTTGTGCTAATAGTGATCGTTCAACACAGGCCTAGTGGCTATTAGCTGTTAGTAGTTTTAGCCAAATAGAGCAGAGCCTAGCATCAAGAATATCTTTAAGTACTGGAGCATTTAGCTCTTCTCTGTTATAATCTAGTTGAAAGGCTAAGTATTGAGAAAATAATTTAGATTTATTTTTGATCTAGTTAGAAATTAGAGTATTAATTTGGTCAAGTTGTTTTCTTTTAGGTGGAAGCAGATATGCTAAGTACCAAATTTTGAAGATAACTAGAGCCTTTGAGAGTAAGATTTTTCCTTTAAATGACAAATTTCTGCTAGAAATTTTTTTAATTTTGTGTTTAATCTTTTGAGTTAGATTTTTCTATAAGTTTTTTTAGATACTCCTTTTGGGTCTACTTCATAGCCTAAAATTCTAAGCACAGTATTGTCTTCTATTTCTTTAAATAGACTTTAATTTGGTAGATTTGTTATTTTGGCTATATTGGTAAGTAGTACTATTAAAGATTTTCTTTAATTAATCTTTGTATTAGCTACTACTTCATACTTTTGCAATATTGTTAAAAGTTTCCTCTAATCTAACTAGGATCCAATCTCTACTGTTAAGTCATCAGCATATACTATAATTTTAAAATAATGATTTGAAATTTTTATTCTATTTAGCTCCTCTTGAATTTTAAAAATAAGTGAATTTAGTACTAGAATATATAAAAGAGGTGAAAGTAGGTTCCCTTGTTGAACTCCTCTTTCTACTTTGATTGGTTCTGACATAAAGCTGAAATCTGCAATATGTGCTATTTGGAGGTGGAATAAGCTTCTAATAATGTTTATGAATTTGATATTGAAACCTATTTTTTCTAAAAGACTTTTTGCTAATCAAGTAGTAATAACCAATACTTAGCTGATTGATCTACTTGATTTCTTATAGCGGTAATAATGTCGAGTGCGGCATTTGTAATTGATCTTCCTTTTATGAATGTTTGTTGTAAAAGTCCAATGACTAATTCACAGATAGTATTAACTCTATTGGCTAAGATTTTCATAAAAATCTTTATATCACAGTTCATAAGTAAGATTGGTTACCAGTTGTCTAAATCTTCGAAATTGTTTGATTTTTTTAGGATTAGTGAAATGATGCTTTTGGTCCATGATTTGGGTAAAGAGTTATTTTTTAATTAATAATTAAAAAGGTCTGTAAGTACTAGAATTATTTCTTTCTTAAATCCTTTATAGAATTTATATATAAGACTATCTGATCTAGAGAACTTGTTATTTGGAAGTTGGTTTATAATATCGCCAACTTTCTCTTCAGTAATTGGTTTTACTAACATTTGGTTTTGGATTCTAGAAATCTATATTAGACCTTGGGTAAAGTAGTTTGAAGCTTCTGAGTTGTTAACCTTAGCTTTGTATATCTTTTAGAAGACATCTCTTATGTATTGTAGTTTGTTAATCGGGCTGTTTGTTTGGTATTGTTCTGAAATTTGGATTTTGTCATTTGTAAAGAAACTATTTTAAAGCTTGTATAAGGAGAAAAAGAATTTTGTCAATTTTTCTTCTTTCTCAATCCACCTCATATTAGATTTAGTTTGCTATTTGTCTGAAAAAGCTTAGAGTTCTTCATACAACTAGGTACTCATATACTTTTTTATTGCTAAAAGGGGTTCTGACTCTCTTTCTCTAGCTATTCTATTGTTTGTTCTTGTTAGTTTTTTTTGTAGCTTCTGAATTTTTTTTTCTGGTGAGGGTTGCAGTCTGTAAGCTCTAATTATAGATTGAATTCTATATTTGTAGAGGTTCCATTTAGAAAAGTCTGTAATATTTTTAATTTTCTTAACCAATTCTTCTTTAAGTGGTTGGTTGTTAAGGCTATTTTTATCAAATCTTTACTGTTTGGTCTTGGGTATTTCAGGAATTAGGTATAATTCACATTCTACTATTAAGTGATCAGAATTACCAAACTAGAGTTGTGATCTTTTTGCAGTAATGTCTATAGTTAGCATTAATAAAGATATAGTCAAATCTTGTAGCCATTGTATGAACGCCTCGTGTGTCTTGATAATATGTTATAAAAGGTTTCGTGTAAGCTGTAATTGAGGCAATATCAATAAATTTTACTATTAAGTCTGAAAGTAATTTTCTTGTAGGGTTGTTTACTATTGGTACCTGACTTATTCTATTTTCTTGTGAATTAAGATTTGTGTTTAAATCCTCTGCAAGAATAGTAATATATCTTTCATCTGTTTCTAGAAACCAGTTATTAAAAACCTTATTCTTTCCTCCACGTTAGGAGATGCATAAACATTGATTAATTGAAAGTTTTGATACTTGTAAATGAAACTTGCTTCTGTTATTCGACCATTGTGTATTTTTTTTATATTAGTTAGTGTTATATTTCTATTTTCTGCTAGTATTGCTATTTTTAAGAACTAGTATAAACTAAATCCCCATTGTTGTTGCAAAAAATTTCTTGTATTTATGTTTTCTAGATTAGTTTTCTGGATTATAATCAGATCTAGATAGTATGATTTTAGTAATGTAAGTATTTGATGAGCCTTATTTGAGTTGTTTAGATCTTTAATATTTAAGGTTACAATTTTAAGTTTGTTAACTATTTTAGTAATAAGTAAGAGTTCGGACCTAGTTCTATTTGTAGTTAAGATTGATTTTCTAGAGTTGTTTTTGGTTTTCTTCTTAGATGTTACTAGTATAAAACCTTCTATATCTATATTATCAATCTTCTTTTTTAAACTGGTCTCATTATAGAATAACACTAAAGGGTCTTTAGTTGTGCTTTTCTGACTATTATCATTTCTAGCTTTAGTGGTTGTAGGTTTTGTCTCTATTTTAGTTTTAGTAGCTATAAACTTTACTTTTACTTTAACTTTTGCGACAACCAATATGGGAGTTTCTGCTATATTGGTTTTTTGAGTTTCCATATTAATGTCTTTATCTGTTTCTAAGCTTACTGTTTCTGTATTTGTTACTAGTATATCAGTAATCATGATGTTCTTTAATTTTTCATTATATAAGTTTTCTATACTCAGTACCAAAGGTGGCTACTCTTGGCTTTATATTTGTTTTCGTTCTTAAATTCTTTGCATTTTACATTCTCTTTGCAATTCTCTTAAAGGTATTGATATTTTGTATTCCTGATACTCTTTTTTAATATGCTCTGTTTTATCACAAAAGTAATATAGCTTTGAAGCCTCTCTCTAGTCAGTTGTGACCTTTTGTTTGCATATGTGTATAAATTTAGAAATTCTTAAGGTTAGGTTAGAATCATCTGTTGTTTTAAATATTACTACCTATTGGTCTGTAAGAACAAAGGTGCCTTTATAAACTAAGAGCTTAATAGAAGAAATATTGCCAATATTGCTAAAGGCCTCTTTAATTTTCTCTGAGATAAATTCTTTTTTACCCATTGGCATATTGTGAAGTCAGACTAACTTGAAGCTTTATTTAATATTAATTGGAATATACTTTTGAAGAGTTTGTTTGAAGATTACCAAGCCTTTGACTGCATAGGACTGTTGTTTTTTTTTAT